TTCACTCCCTTTGTATGTGCGTGTGTAAGTATAAGAAGATACGAATATCCTGGCCTCCACACAACCCGAGAAAGTATTTCCGTGTGCTGTATGCAGAGAAACGTGAAGAATCCTCACCAAGACGTTTCCAGCGATAAGGAGGACCAGCCCCCCCAAGCAGGAAACAAATGCAATGTACTTCGGCTTCTTGTTGTTCACTGCGATGTAGACGAGAACCACGTATGCCTGACACAGCAGGTACGCGTCGTTCCGTTTGAGGGAGCAAGAAGGGTGAGTTATTTTGAAAAGGCACGCATTGTCTAAACTATTGACACATTTTCGGTATATCACAGACAGCAGTACAATTTCTATCCCTACGCCATGTAGATTTCCTGCTGTGAGTGATAATATCCTACGGTACAACGAGCTTACTGAGCTTTCGACATTTCCATATCATGCAGCAATGTATGTGCTGTAGGTCGGCCTGCAACCACACCCAACAAGGCTGTAGCCTGTACCGCTCCATCATGTTAAACCTTGTGATGCGTGTGAGAGTTGTGGCATCTATCTGTCAAGTCTTACCCCCAATGCGATGAAGAGCAGCACCCCACAAAGCACGATGGCAAAAGCCGTCGAGCACAGCCCCCGGCTCGATTTCCACAACCATCCGCGAGGTGAGGCAGGCTCAGGTGCACCGAGCTTGTCGTTCACGAGAACGCGCGGGTGCAGCGTTTCGACCCACGGCCTCGTACCACCAGAGTCAGGAAAGGGTGTCAGGCCTGGAGTGCGACTCATGATCGATGGGTTGAAGAAGACAACCTCTCGCGTTGAGCTATCAAAGGCGGCCGGTTTGATCCCAGCATCCGGTGGAGCCATGGCTACCAGGTTGCGTCCGAGTAAACAAAGCTATTGGTGGAGGTCTGAGGTGGACGTTCGGCTATGCAATGTGTGCAGGACTCTACACGCATGCTTCCGTTGCATGATGAACGCATGCGATTCTTCGGTCGGTGTTCGTTGCACAAACTCTGTGCTGCAGGTGTGGATCGTTTGTCGCGAAGGGTAACTAAATACAGCAGTGAACCCGAAATCCGAAATCTCGCAATCTCGCCGCATGAACTCGTAATCTCGGCTAGACCTGTCCTCCATCCAGCTCCTCCATCGGCCGTTTTTTTTTCCTTTGTCGTCAGCCGCTTTTTTTTTTCTCTTTCGGCCGCTTTTTTTCCTTTTTCGGCCGGCCCAATTTTTTTTCGGCCACCCCAATTTTTTTTTCGGCCACCCCACTTTTTTTTTTCGGCCACCCCAATGTGTGCCCGTACTAGCCCGTACAGGTACCCTTTTAACACCCTCTCGTGCATCCTATGCTTGTTGCGCAAGATGGATCGGGGCTTGTCCATTTATCTGTGTTCTTTGGAAGAAAATAACTCTGTGTCTAGTCGCAGTAATGCACCGGTTTATCACTAGTCATCATTGAGAAAAAGAGTACTGTTTCATACCATACATACGCCTCCGAAGCCTACTCTTTCGTGTTTCATCTCTGCGAGCTGCGAGCTATGGGCGAGCTGGAAGCTGGAAGTTTTTTGTGTTTTCATTTCTTCAAGTGCGGAGACGCGGAGGCCACCGCGCGGTGCCAATCGGGGCGATTTTGGCGGCAAAAGAGTGACCGGTCTATTCGAGGATTTTGAGAAAAAAAAGGGGGGCACGCAGACTTTTTGGTTCTCGAGTCAGCTCTTGAATCATACCGATCAAAGTATACTTTATCCTCCGTACTTTGTATAAGTAGCTCTGCGTCCAGGCAGCGACGTGGCTCTTCATACGTTGCACACATCTGGACACAAGTCCAATAGAGGACACTGCAAGCTCGGTTTATGCTTTAGTTTATAGGGCGGATGAACAACCCAGAAAAACCTACAAAATTCAGCTGTATGGCCAATGCCCGAGGCCGCCTCTGACTTTCTTGAGAAAGCGAGCTTGCAGTGCACCACCTTGGGAGTTAGACCACACAACACAAAAGGCCGAACTGGAATCGCTCAAGTCAACAGCGAGATCTACATGTCTGAACATGGTCTTCCAAGCGGGTCTCCTGCAGCGCCTGTCAGCGAAGCACAGCAGCAAAAAAACCGTAACCAAAAAAAAAAGAGGCGCGTTTTTGGTGGCGGCAGCAGGCGAGCCGCGAAGAACCTCAGGAGAAACCAAGCCAAGTACGAACAGGCGTCGGGGCAGTCTGTGTACGCCGCCTGCGCAGCGTCAAACACACGGCGTGCGGTCGAAAGGGGCGGTGTTGCCGCCGCACAGAAAGCGCTGACAGAAAAGGAGCATGAGTTGGTCGAAAGTAAACAGCGCGAGGCGGCAAGCACCGCTGAGTGCAGCATGGCTCAGGAGCTCGCGCGCGAGAGCACCGAGGCGCTAAAGGAGGAGAAGGCTAAGAGAGCAGAGGCAGAGCGGTCGCAGCAAGAGGCAGAGCGGAGGAAGCAAGAGGCTGAACGAGACAAGGCGAAGGCGGAGGCGGTGGGCGTAGATGATGGGTGCTTCCTCGCTGCTGCTGTTTTTTTCGCCAGCAGCAGGAGGAGCACTGCTTCCTCCAGCAGGAGGAGTCCGCGCGGTCCCACCGCCCGGCGGCTGTTCGAGTGAGCCACCAGGCATGTTTGCTAGGTTGCGGACGGCGCTAGGGTGCCGCTAGGGTGCCGTGTGCAACCTCCACGGCACGGCGGAACGCGTTCACACACGCTTCGCGCTCGCGGGGCGTCAGGTGTTTTTTGGTTCTGGCGGGGTTCTTCGGAACGTTCGATGTGATTTTTTTGGCTCGAGCGATTTTCCATCTGGAAGATCCAGGACACTTTTCGAAATTTTTTCCTATAGGAAATTTGACCGATTGGCACCCCTCTGTTTCATACCATACATACGCCTCCGAACCCTACTCTTTCGTGTTTCATCTCTGCGAGCTGCGAGCTATATGGGCGAGCTGGAAGCTGGAAGTTTTTTGTGTTTTTTTTTTTCAAGTGCGGAGACGCGGAGACCACCGCGCAAGTGAAAAAATGTTCGAAAAGGGTAGGTAGGTACGTAGGACTCCCCACAACATTGAATTTATGGGAGGGGGAGGGGGGTGGCCCATTGAAATCGGACGTTGGCCGTGGCCGATTTGGAATCGGCCGTAGCCGACTAGGAATCGGCCGTAGCCGACTGACATTCGGCTATCCCCTGGCCAAAATCGGCTGCTTTGTTTGCAAAATCGGCCACTTTGTTTGCAAAATCGGCCGTTTTTTTTTGCTGCCGTTTTCCGGCCGAAATTTTCAGAAATCGGCTCGTTCGGCCCCGGCCGATGGAGGACAGGCCTAATCTCGGCACAAGTTGAAAAAATGTGTGTTGTGTGTTGTATGTTGTACATACTATCTCGTAACTCCGTTCTTAGTCTTGTTTTCTACGTACATGGTGATTTGTTTGATCTCTACATCATCGCGTTATCGCTGAGGTAGAGGTGTTATTCTTGGGTCACGAGACTCTTCGCGACGCACAGTCTGAGTTGTGAGGCGGCGCAATATCGTTTTGGGTTAATCCGGACAGTAACAAATACGGTGTATCGGCTGGAGCAAGCGGAAGTGTTACGGTTCGGGGCATTCATTGTCCCGCAAGTACAACCCCACAGAGGTAGTTGGCCGCATTCAGCGGAGCCTCTGCAAGAGCTGTCTGGACTCGCCCCCCTCTGCTGACAACCAAGCTACCATCCTGAGCTTGAACTAAAAGAATAAGACCATAACATC